CTCTATTACTTCTCATTTTACCTATATATGTTCATCTATCTATCTATCCATCTCTCTCTCTCTCTCTATATATATATATATATATATATATATATTTATATATATATATATATATATATATATATATAAATTTCCAAGAGGATGGAATACAGGCAGAGTTCAATGTTAAGGACAGAACAAGAATATAATATAAAAAAGCTCAAACACTAATATTCCATGGTTCTAATTTATTACATAAGAATTTTTGAATTTGTTGATATGATGAATTGGATCGTGATTACGATTCAATGTAATAAATTATAACCATGGGATATTATGAGCATTTTATTATATATATATATATATATATATATATATATATATATATATATATATGTACCTACGTTTAAAGTACGGCTCAGAGTTTCATAGCTTTGTCACTCATTAGGTACAAAAATTTAAGAACTGTTCAATACAATTAATAATTACACATAATTTACTACTGAAAACGTAGGTATATGTGTAATTATTAGTATATACTTTATACCTCTGTTTAACTACGTTGTGCACCGTTTTGTCTACACCATTTTTTAAATAAATTGTTATTTGCTCCTCTTGAAATACAATCGCTCATCTTCATGGTTCATTTAATCTCTTTATTTAGATCATTTCTACATGTCCCACTCTTTCTTTTTTTATCACTATCTATCTATGTCATTACTTTAACTTTATTTTACTCTCTCTCTCTGTCTCTCTATCTCTCTCTCTCTATATATATATATATATATATATATATATATATATATCATTACTATATCTTTATTTTAGTGTATGAAAATATTTATGGAAAAGTTGATAATATTGCAGATTATTTTTGGGATGTATTGCCAAGAATCTTCAGGCCAGATGCAACAGTAATTGATTAAAGCATTTCCAGTCTTCCATAGTAATGCTTCAGGCCCATGAGAAACCTACTCACCTGTGACGAGTTGTATACATAACTCTTATTTTTAGGACATTTTTATGTCCATATATGGAGTCTATAGATAAAATTATTTAAATAAATGTTCTGTTTATAATAAACAGTATTAAACGCCTGAATGTCCCTGAAATTTTCATAGAAAATATGGGTCCTCCGATAGGAATTGAACCTGTATCCTATACAGAACCGTCATTTAGCATGACGTGCCTTTACCGATTTGGCCACGAAGGATCGTTCGGCTAGAAAAGTCGAATTTACTGTATTTAAACTCCAATCTTCCATGAATCTCTCACGTACATTCATGTCTGCTCATAGCGTATACAAATGTAAACAAATGACGTCACACATTATGAAATGGACAAAGTCCGACAATTATTTTTAAGACATTTTTATGTTTATACATTCTTTTTTATAGATACAAATATTTACGTAAATGCTCTGTTTATAATAAATAGGATTAAACAACATTTACCGGCCTGAATGTCCGAGAAATTGTCATAGAAAATATGCGTCCTCCGACAGGAATCGAACCTGTATCCTATATCATTTAGCCTGACGTGATCTTAACTGATCGAGCCAAAGAGGATTGTTCATTTATTTTGGAATAACATATTTTAAATTTACTGAGTTTTAAAATTCACTTGAAGACGAAACAGAACTGATGGTTTTAATTTAATTATATAATTAAATTTGAAGTTTTTAGCTTCGCTTTTTGAAACATGGCAATTCCTGTGTAGCGAAGAAACCATATTTTAAATCAGTTAATTTATAATATATATATATATATATATATATCTCTCTCTCTCTCTCTCTCTCTCTCTCTCTCTATATATATATATATATATATATATATATATATATATATATATATATAAACCAGGTTGTAACAAAATTGTCCAAATCGTGTGACAGCAAAATTGTCCAATAGTTAGATTAAGCTCTGAACCGTTGTATCTTAGAAATGATTAAATATATCTTACTGGAATTCTACGATGTTTTTACAACATTGTAGGACACTGTAGTAAAGAGTTCGATCATCACAGGGTGCCCCATACTTTCGGCCTTGTGCCATATCTATGCTACGTTTAGAAAATCACCATTTAATTAAGGGTGCCATTCAAGTCTAAACGGGCCGCGTGTGGGCCGCGGGACGCAGTTTCCCGATGGCTGGTTTAAATAAAAGATTCTGTTCGAAATTTCTTGAAGGTTACCCCGAACCTGAAGAAGGCCGGAGTGTGTAAACGTTGTGCTTATAACAGCAAAAGACGAGGACATTAATTCGAATGTAGATAAGAGATAGCTTTTGAAAAACTACTTGAAGAGAGGAAGGTGACATGTAGGACTGTATCAAAAGTCTTCATTAGTAAAGCGAGTGTGGAATTTGGTGCTGTGTGTTTAAGCGTTCGGTACTTGTGTGCGGGTGTGTGATAGCGCGTCGGGGTGTCACTATCAGAAGGTGGGCGAAAGCTGTGCACGTGCAAAGCTCTTGTAATTCTACACCGCTTATAACAGATCACAGTCATTATCAGCCATGACGTCCTATGTAAAGTGATCTCTCCTAGTCTGGGGAAAGAAAGGGGAGGACGGAAAAAAAAAGAGACAGAGAGAAGGTGGGGGAGAGACGAGGATGGAAAGGAGTCGACGAGGAAGGAAAGAAAGAAAGAGAGAAGGATGAGAAAAGTGAGAGGAAGGGAGGAAGGAAAAAGAGGGGCAGTGAATAGGAAGAGGAGGAAAAAATGAAGTCCTGGTGGGTAACGAAGAAGAAACACAAAGAAGAAGAATAGGCGAAAGACTAGAAGAAAGAAGGAAGGGATTAAATAATAAACCATTTTTTAGGCACTGACCTAGATAAGTTAGAGATAGAAAGAGAAAAACGAAGAAAAGAAAGCGAGGAGAAGGAAGAAAAATCAGAATAAAAGAAAGACAAAGTCGATTGAAAAAAGGTGATGAGAAAGAAGCGAATGCCATAAAGAAGGTAGGAAGGAAAAGCAAAAAAGAAAGAGAAACGAACGGAAAGAAAAAAAAGGAGAAAAATATAAGAGGAAAACAAATATGAACGAACGAACGAAAGAAAGATGTAATGAATGAAATGTTAAGGAAGGAAAGAAAGATAAAAACAAGGAAAGATGAATAAAAGAAAGAAAAGAAGAAGGAGAAAATATGAGAACGAAAGAAAAGTGATAAAAGGAATGAAGTAGGAAAGAAAGAAAGAAAGAAAGAAAGAAAGAAAGAACAAGGAAGAAGAACGAAAAGAAAGAAAAAAGAAGACACAAACGTTAGAAGGGAGATCAGCAGAAAGAAAGAAAGAAAGAAAGAAAGAAAGAAAGAACGAAAGAAGAGAACAAACAACAAAAGAGGTCTGAATTAAAAAGAAAGAAAGAAGTAGACGACAAAAGTAGTAAAAGGTTTGAATTAGAAAGAAAAAAAGAAAGAAAGAAGAGAACAAACGCCAGAAGAGGTCTGAAATAAAAAGAAAGAAAGAAAGAAAGAAAAAAAGAAAGAAAGAAAGAAAGAAAAGAAAGAAAGAAGAGAACAAACGCCAGAAGAGGTCTGAAATAAAAAGAAAGAAAGAAAGAAAGAAAGAAAGAAGGAAGGAATGAAGAGAACAAACGCCATAAGAGGTCTGAATTAAAAAGAAAGAGAGAACGAAAGAAGAGAACAAACAACAAAAGAGTTCTGAATTAAAAAGAAAGAAGTAGACGACAAAAGTAGTAAAAGGTTTGAATTAGAAAGAAAGAAAGAAAGAAAGACGAATAGAAGAAAATAGAGATAAGAAAGTGACAAGAGAAAAATGCGAACGAAAGAAACATAAGATGAAAGAAAATTTAAAGAAAGAAAATACGAAAAGAAAAAAATGAGGAAATGACGCAAAAGTAAAGGAAAATGATGACAAAGAAGAAGAAAAAGAGAAAGACATAAATGAAAGAGCGATTATGGTATAAATAAAAAAGTTAAAGAAAGGAAAAAGAAAAGAAAAAAAAGAAAAAGACGAAGCAAGATATGAAAGAAAATAGGAACGAAGGAAAAAAGTCGTTCAATGAAATGAAAGGTTTAAAAAAGAAAAAAAAGAAAGACGAATCAAAGAAAAGGAAGGACGGAATAAATAAAGAAAGAAAATGAAGAAATAAACAAAGAAAAAGAAAAAATAAATCGGACAAAAGAAAGAAAGAAAAAAATGTAGCGATAAAGAAAGAGAAAGGAAAAGAAAGACGAACGGATGAAATAAAGGGGGGAAGAAAAAAAAAGAAATACAAAGAAAAATGGAAAAGAAAGAAAATGTGATAAAGAAAAAAGAAAAAGAAACGTGAATAGAAGAAAGAAAGAAAAAGAGAAAGAAAGAAATAGAAAAAAAGAAAGTCTAAAAAAAGAAAAAGAAACAAAAAAGCAGAATAGAAAAAACAGCGATGAAGAAAAAGAAGGAAAGCGAAAAAAGACAGAAAGTAAAAGAGAAGGAAAAACAAATAGAGAAAAAGGAAACGAAAGAAAGCAAAAAGAAAAAAGAAAGACTAATGAAAGAAAAAAAAGAAGAATAAAGTTACCCCCCCCCTGAAAACTACGACAGAAAGGAAGGAAAGAAAGAAAGAAAAAAAAGCAAAGAATGAAAAACAACTGAAAAATACATTGGAAGAGTGAAGTAAATACTGAGAGAGAAAAAAAAGTTAAGGAAGGAAAAAAAAAAAAAAAAAGCAAAGATAGAAAAAAAAAAAAAATGACCAGAAAAGTCCATGAAAGAAAAAAGTAAAGTCGAAGATTTGTAAAGCTCAGAATTTCTTGTTTACCAAAATATCTGAGTCCATTTCTTCTCCCGCCCAGGTAAATTACTAAGACTTGTATCACGAAACTATTGTTATCTAAATAAAAAAATAAAAAAATTATCATCTAAAAATATTTTCTGGCTTTAAATAACCTGCAAAGACTTGATAAGCCGTAAAAAAACGAATCAATCAATCAATAGTCGAATTTGTGTCAATGAACCATTATTATCTGCACTAAAAATTCTTACAATCTGCAAATATTTTCTGGCTTTAAATAACCTGCAAAGGGTTGATAAGCCGTAGAAAACGAATGAATCTATCAATAGTCGAATTTGTGTCAATGAACCATTATTATCTGCACTAAAAATTCTTACAATCTGCAAATATTTTCTGGCTTTAAATAACCTGCAAAGGGTTGATAAGCCGTAAAAAACCAATCAGTCCATCAATAGTCGAATTTGTGTCAGTGAAACATTATTATCTGCCCTTAAAATCTTTACAATTAGCAAAGATTTTCTGGCTTTAAATAACCTGCAAAGGGTTGATAAACAAACGAATCAATCAATCCTTTATAATTTCTTTTCCTTTTTGTCGTACATGTTCCGCCATCCGTTTACACAATCTGGCCAATCAGATCATTAACTGGCTGTGAATTAAAAAAATATAATATATAGTAGTGAGCAAATAAGTTAGCTCAAGAGGTGAGTTGCACATTGGGGATATCAAAATTAAATATGCGTGGAAATTCAAATAACTGAACAATGGAGAAATTCTCATGTGAATAAGAATAGCAAAAGCCATTTCCCCAACACCTCGTTTAAACGAATCGCATAAAAAATCATTCCTACATAATAGTTATTGATTTTGTTCAACAGCATATGGAGATCTCTATGGGTTTTTTTTTAATGCCGAAAATCTATATAGTCTGTACATAATTTCATAAATTCAGTGTAATGGGCAAGGTATTTAAATATATAGTTTGTAGATCATTTTGCTGATAGTTTCACTATAAAAATGTATTGTTGGTAATTTTATTATAAACTAGCAGGAGAGCCCGGCGTTGCCCGGGGATGTAACAGTAAGAGATAGATCAAGTATCGACCATCATAAAGATTGAAAAATAAAATTGACAAAGATTATTGTTTAAGGTTGACGGACACGCATGTCTTAATTAGATTTTTTTTTTGTTTTTTTTTTGAGTTTTTTTTCGAATTGGTCAAACCCAAACTCAAACAAAAACATTGCTTTCAATCATTATGAGTCTACCGATTCAATAGAATTTTATTATAAACAATTGTCTTGTAAATAGAATTTTTAAAACATTCTGAATGTAAAAATAAAGAAAAAAGTGTGCAAGACAATAAGAAACACAACCTGCCAAAAAAAAGTGAAGTTTTGTTGAAATCGGTTGAAAAATGTAGAAAATCCGATCCCATATATAAACGAACACACACAAACAACCTGGGTTTTATAATAAGTATAAATCGATATGAGTTATCCCCCTTTCATTCTGGCAACAGAATCGTGTTTTATCGTGTTTTCAAATTGATTTCGTGCCAAAACAATTGTGCTTTTCCAATTTTGGGCGCTGTCAGAACCACCGTAAGCTAATTTTACGCAGTCCTGTGAAGTTTTGTTGAAATTGGTTTGAAAAATGTAGGAAATCCGATCCAATATATAAACGTACACACACACACACACACACACACACACACACACACACACACACACACAATCTGCGTTTTATAATAAGTAAGATATGTACTGTTGATTTTTGCTTGGGGGTTCACTATAGATGGACCCCCAACAGGTGCTGCCACTACGGGTCAGGGTAGACCTGGGAACAGCGGTAATTAAGCGGTGGTTACAAGATCCTCCAAAACCTCCAATTTCCTGAGCAGAAGCCTCTGCTGCCGGATGTAGTTTATCGTCATACCCAGGACGAGCGACATAATAATTTATACGAATAAACTGATATGCACGTATTATAATTCTGCTTTTTTCTATGTCTGTTAGTTACTTAGTATACACGTACGTTACGTCTTGCTATTGCTTCAGATTGACCATTTTTGTTGGATTGCGAGTATAGACGGAAGAAAAGATATATCAAAGGTGCTGTTTGGGTTTAGAGAAAGGAAAAGAAAAGAAAGAAAGGTAAAAGAAAAAGAAAGAAAGAAAGAAAGAAAGAAAGGAAGAAAGAAAGAAAGAAAGAAAGAAAAAAAAAAGAAAGAAAGGAAGAAAGAAAGAAAGGAAGAAAGAAAGAAAGAAAGAAGTGACATGAGCTGTTTCATTTGATTAACGTCTGCTTCAGTGAAATGAAAAAAAAAACCTTGTAAATTTCGAATCTTTTCATTTTTAGCCTCCGGGCTGAGGAATTGGAGAGACGAGTTCGAATCCCAGTCGAATCCATTACATTCACTTACGTGCTGATACTCTTGGGAAGGGTATGAATCTTCTTCTTCTTCCCCACCAAGCTATGGGTAAATAGCAGGACAGGCCGGGTTCTATAGCTTTGGATGACAACTGGTCTACCGCAGCAAGAAATAACAATCTACTTTGGGAAAAATCTGCCTCGTCAGTCATGCATCGAAAGATACATGATCACCTAAGCGTGTATCACGCATGGCATTTAAGTGACTGACCCTTGAGAAAGATATGAATCCACTTTTTCTCCCCACCCCAGCTATAGGTAAATAGCGAGAGAGACCGGGTTCTATAGCCTTGGATGGCAACTGGTCTACCGCAGAAAGAAACGGCAACCTACTGTAGGAAAAAAATCTGCCTCGTCAGTCATGTATCGAAAGATACACGACCGCCTAAGCGTGTATCACGCATGCCACATAACTGATTGAAGATAGAAACTGGCAAGGAAAAATTGACCGGCACTATACAGTGAACTAACTTTAATAGAAGCGAACCTAGCAATATATATATATATATATATAGACGTTAGTGTTTCCATCAAACTCGGAATACTTAGATTTTATTCATTTTTCAAAACGAATGTTCTTTTTACTTAAAATCAGTGTAACAAATCTGATGTGTTACATTCAACTACAGGTCACAACCAACGTCATGTCGTCCTGGGTCAGACGATAAACTACATCCGGCAGCAAGGCTTTGATCAAGATGTGTTGAGGAGCTTGGAACCACCTCTTAATTGCGGGTGTTCCCAAGTCCATCCTTACCCGGAGTAGTAGCATCTGTTGGGCTCCCAGCGATGGGGAAATAGTTAACCCCCAGACTGGGGTCAAATCACTATGAAAGAGTAAAAATAGGTCTTATTACCAGTAATTCATTTTTGTAACTATTATTACCAGCAGTGAATTTTTAAGAAAAAAAATTTATTGCCAGCAATAATTTATTATTAGCAATAAATGTTTGGTAAAAAATAAGACCAGCATTACATTTTTTAAGAAAAAGATATTACCAGCAATATATTTTGAAGAAAAATAATATAAGCAGTAATACATTTGTGAAAAAAAACAAAAAAAAAAACAACAAAAAAAAAAAAAACAATATTACCAGCAATAAAAATTTTGTCGGTATTAAATAATCCATTGAGGTTGATATGCCATAAAACAAATCAAACCAATATATACTGAGATATAGATAGATAGATAAAAAAATATTACAAGCAATAAAAATCTTGTCGACATCAAATAACCCATTGTGGTTGATATGTCGTAAAATAAACCAAACCAAATCAATAGATAGATAGATAGATAGATAGATAGATAGATAGATAGATAGATATGACCAGCAATAAAAAATCTTGTCGATATCAAATAACGCATTGTGGTTGATATGTCGTAAAATAAACCAAACCAAATCAATAGATAGATAGATAGATAGATAGATAGATAGATAGATATGACCAGCAATAAAATATCTTGTCGATGTCAAATAACCCATTGTGGTTGATATGTCGTAAAATAAACCAAACCAAATCAATAGATAGATAGATAGATAGATAGATATGACCAGCAATAAAAAATCTTGTCGGCATCAAATAACCCATTGAGGTATTGATATGCCGTAAAATAAACCAAACCAAACCAACATCATGCTGAAGATATCTTCACCTTAATCCTGGTGGAGGTACTTCCCTACTCAGGTTTTGAATTTATTCTTCTAGAGTGATTTCCGACCAAGGCTAATGAGCCGAGTCTATTCTACTGTTTCATCCATCGCAATATGAGGATAAAGAAAATGGCGCCAATGTCTATCGTATAAAAATCACAGCGCACAGTAAAAAATGATTTTAGTTAAAAATAATTTTTCTTTAATTTTGTCGCTCGAACTAAATTTTGTTTTATGTTTCCCTTAAACCCTGTCCAGCCATTTATTTAGTTTCGCTGGGTAGGTTATGCAATGTTTTCCTCTCTCACACTCAATTTTCCAAGTCCTCTTTCCTCATTATGTGCCCTAGAAATTTCAACCGTCTCTGATATTAAATATAGATACCCTTTCTGTTTCCAGTTTCTCTAAACTTTGTCGTTTGCTCACATGTTTGCTTCATGGGATTCTCAGAATCCTTCTGTAGAACCATATTTCTGTTGCCTCAAGTCTCTTCTTCATCTGTGAGGAGATTGTCCATTCACTGCTACAAAGGAGGACTGATATCACATAACAGTTCTGTACACGTTTCTTTATTTGCTTCAAGTGTCTTTGTCTGTAATGAGATTGTCCAGCATTCATTGCCATATAGAAGAATTGAAATTACGTAGCAGTTCAGTATTTTTTTGCTTTAAGCCCTTTCTTCATTTATGAGCAGATTTTCCAACATTCACTCTCACGTAGGAGGACTGTTATTATGTAACAGTTCATTTCTATTTTCTTTCTTTGCTTTAAGTCTCTTCTTCATCTGTGAGGATATTGTCCAGTATCCACTGCCATATAGGAGGACTTATATTACATAACAGTTCAGTAATCTTTTCTTTGTTTCTCTTGCTTCAAGTCTCTTCTTCATCTGTGAGGATATTGTCCAGCATTCCCTGCCATTTAGGAGGACTGGTATTACATAACAGTTCAGCAATCTTTTCTTTGTTTCTCTTGCTTCAAGTCTCTTCTTTATCTGTGAGGAGATTGTCCAGCATTCACTGCCACATAGGAGGCCTAGAGTTTGTGGTTTTCAGTACAGTAGGGATTCCACTGAGTTAATCGCGGCAAAGGCTGAGGAAATAATTGTATTATGCGCTTGATTACATCATGTATGTCAAAGTCAAAGCAGGTGCGCCTTCAGACCTAGCTTGACAGGTGTAGACAAGCCACGAAAGTGAGTAGAAATACGAAATCCACAAACTTTTTCTGTTCAGCCCTTCTTCCATAAAGGAGAACGCATTTTAAAAAGTTAATGGCATTGAACCTCAAACGTTTAACGACACGAAAGAAAAAAGGAATCAAGTTGCAAAAGAAAGAATGTAAATACAAAACATAGCACCAATAAAAAGAACATGTGATAAATAGTCGACGTCACGTCAAGAGTAATGTGTGTTGAAATGCTGTCGAAGTTCATCTCACTCTATCTTCACAGATGTCCGAGGTCCGAGGCAGATAGATTGAATGATACAGTCTCTTTTCTAGAATGCCTAAAGGATAAAAAAAAAGATGCTACCAGTACGTCAGGGGGCCGCAAATAACATCACAAAGTCCGAACCAATAACTTCTACAACGCAAAAAAGATATTTAACGGTTTCAATTTTAATATATACTAAAGTATATATATTTTATATTACTATATAAAATATATTGTAGATCAGGTATTTTAACCATGACTTGTATAAAAATACGTGTGCTGTTGCCACACTGAATGATTTTAATATCCCAAGCAAAATGGATTTTAGCACCCCACGTAATTGCATAACAAAATGTTGCCGAACACTGTTTCAATCCATCTTATCATTGTTGCTTTTTTAGACCAACACCATGAGACAATACACTTTTCATATTTTTAGGAATATATATGTATGTATGCATATATGAAATACTCTCTGATACACCCACACGCATATATATATATATATATATATATATATATATATATATATATATATATATATATATATACTATTCTTCACCACAGCCCAAAAATATAATCAGGAGTTATCGTATAATTTTAGCTTAGAGACCTTAGAATATGCAGTCTAGAACAGGGGGCGGTAACTAACGGCGTGGGCCACATGTGGCACATAAGCAATTTCCAGTGCCACGCAGCCACAAATGACATCACGTTGTCCGAACCAATAACTACTACAACGCAAAGAAGATATTTAGCTGTTTCAATTTTGATATATATTAAAGTATATATACTATATATTACTATATATAATATATTGTAGATCATGTGTATTGACTTTGATTTGTATAAAAATACGTATGCTGTTAGGACACTGAAGGATTTTAAAACTCTAAGTCAGCACATAATTAAAAGTTTTCGACCCCTGATTTAAACCATCTTATCATTGTTATCTTTTATCCCAATACTATGAGACAATACACTTTTCATTATTCCTGTTATTATTATTTATAGATAAATCCAAAAAATTGACTCTACAGCAGGGGTCGGTAATCTAAGGCACGCGTGGCACGCCAAGCAATTTCCAATGGCAGGCAGCCGCAGATGACATCACGAAGTCCGAAACAACAACTATTACAACGTAAAGAAGATATTTAGCTGTTTCAATTTTAATATATACTAAAGTATATATACTATTTCAATATATATTTACTGCTAACCGTTATTTATATACACACAAATATTTAAGTAAATTCTTTGTTTATAATAAACAGTATTAACAACATTTACCGGCCTGGACGTTCGAATAATCTCATAGAAAATATGCGTCCTCCGACAGGAATCAAACCTGTATCCTGCACGGAATCATTATATAGCCTGATGTGCTATACCGGTTTAGCTATGAAGGAGCGTCTGGTTTGCAAGGTCGATTCTACTGCTTTTAAAGCACAAACTTCCCATGATTTCGTCCATATCTGTTCGAAGAATATCTTAACGTAAACAAATGACGTCACATCCGAAAGGGACAATTCGAAAGTCCGACAATTATTTTAATATATTTATACTGTACTTATCATTTATAAATAAATAAAAAAAATTGACTCCACGGCAGGTTTCGGCAACCTACGGCACGCGTGCCACGCCTAGCAATTTCCAATGGCACGCAGCTGCAAATGTCTTGACGAAGTCTCAAACAGTAACTACTACAAAGCAAGGAAGACATTTATCTGTTTCAATTTTAATATATACTAAAGTATATATACTAATGTATTACTATATAAAATCTATTGTAGAACAAATATATTGACCTTGACTTGTATAAAAATACGCATGCTGTTGGCACGCTGAATGATTTTAAAAGCCTAAGTCGGCACATAGTTTGCAAAAGGTTGCCGACCGCAGCCCTAAGACATCATGCACTATGGTTTGTGCAGATCCATAGCTGATGCCTAACGATTGCCACCACTTTAGTTCCCGTAATGAGGGGAAAAGCATATGTCCCTTTTTCAACATAGTCCTCCCTTCACGGCGATGCACATCCGGTATGTTCATCCCATCTGAAAAGAAGCTTTTCGATTGCTCACAAAGCCTCGTCCTCACCGCTTGCTTGTTTGAGCAGGCAACGTTCACAAACTTCACGGTACCCTAAGACAAGGGTCAGCAACCTACGACACGTGTGCCACAAACGACATCACAAAGTCCGAACCAATAACTACTACAACGCAAAGAAGATATTCAGCTGTTTCAATTTTAATATATACTAAAGTATATATACTTTATATTACTATATAAAATATATTGTAGAAGAAATGTATTGACCTTGACTTGTATAAAAATACGCATGCTGTTGGGACACTGAATGATTTTAAAACCCCAAATCGGCACTTAGTTTGCAAAAGATATCCGACCCCTGACCTAAGTAATATCTTAAACCTCTAAGCGGGAGATCGAATGATATTTTGGTTATTATAATTATCTCGAACGAAACAATTTCGTGGGAACTCGAAGATCTAAATGTATTTCTCATAGGTAGACTTAATCTTAAAATTGGATACACGGATGATTCTGAAACTATGAGACTATGAAAACAACTAAAGAACTTTTAGACAATGTAGCAAAGAAAAACTTAAATGTATGAAGACGTAGTTCTCATAAAAATGGCAAGCCAAGGTGTATTCTCCGCCATTTCTATAAAAATTTAAAGCTAAAGCTTATATCGTTAGCGTTTCTGATTCATCATCCTCATCATCAAAACTGTTTCGATTTGAGATCATGAATTAAAATGTTCTCTCATCTTCACTAACATTGTATAATGATTCGACAATATTTTGCCAACCTTCTCTGTCCTCTGCGAGTTTGCAGATTCGTTGCAGATCTTCGTTGATTGTAAACATCTCCATCTTTCTGTCTTGTTCTTTAAATGTCTCTGTTCAGCGTTGTGACTATGGTGTTTCTTGGATGACCTCTGAACTTTTTGAAGTCAGTCTTTTCAAAGTAAAACTCCATGGCTTTGTTAGCTGGGCATTCTGAATCCGTTCTGTTTGTTGACATTCGCTTGGTTTTCTCTTGAACAGTGAGCTGTATTACAGACACACGGTCTGATACTTTCCAACATCGATGTACATTATTCTTCCATTTACTGTTGACAACAAATCCGTTTCCATAATGTCTGCATTCTGTCTCTAAACATATCAGCTGGTGTTTGTTTTTGCTCATATTACCGTCCAGATCAGGTCCAACTTTTCATTTTCCGAATATCGTCTTTTCTCAGTATGCAACGTCTTAAATAAGTAGTTACTGCATTCCTAAGTAGTTACTGCGTAGCAGTAACGGGAGCAGTCATTACCTACTTCTCTAAATCATATGTGCTGATATTTAACTTTTTGGGTAGTCTAGTAACAGATGACAGGAAGTTAGACACAGAACTTCGAAGATGCATAGAAATAGTGAAATATGCCTTTCAGAAACTAAACAAAGCATTGAGAGATCGTTTTAAACAAGAAAAGGTTGCTGAATTGCTATATTATATTTGTCCTCTTTGTATGGCAGTGAATGTTAAATAATCTCCTCACAGATGAAGAAGAGAGTTGAAGTGATTGACATGTGGTTCTGTCGACGAATGATTAGAATACCATGGACAGAACACTTGCGGAAGGAGGAAGTTTTACAGAAAATAGGAACCACAATGAAATTGATACACCCTCGTGTAAATTAATTAAAACAACCGCTTTAGTTTCCTTTCTTTCACCATACGGTCAGTTTTAGACCCACTGGAGTGACAGGGTGTAATCGATTTCTATTTTTTCATCAGATTAGGTCTTTTGCAGTGGTGTGCAGTAATATGAATCTATTTTCGGGGTGTATGACGAATTTTTTTGGCTTTGGAACATATTGCATCATCTATAATTGCATCAGATTTTTATCACGCCAAGACACTATTGTCTAAACTGTTGATTAGTTGTCCTAGAGCCATTGTCTGCCATGGAAGTTACTCAAAGGAAGCGTACGAAAATTGTAACGCTGCACGAATGCACTGACAAGCCTTACCAGTGAACAAATCAAAGTACTATCGACTGGCTCGGAAAGACTCCTGATTTAAATCCAATCGAGAATCTGTGGTCGATCTGCAAGGAACGACTTCGTAGAATGGACATACGAAGTACTAACATGTACACTGGGTCATGTTTCATTGAAAAAATATGAAATAAAAATAAATAATAACGGACTTATTCGTTTTGTTTCAATTAATTTGCACAAGGGTGTCGATGATGATGGCTCTCCATATTTTCCTGTATAATTAATTTATACAAGGATGTACAATCAGAAAGAGATAGCTGAAAATACTGGGAAACATAATGAAACAAATATAGCCTGGTGAACTTGAAACTAATAGACCATACTGGCAGCAAGGGAAACAGGGTGAATCAGCAAATGTCCTACTTGGTTGGAAGTTTGAGGGCGTTATAAAAGAAAAAAAGAAACTTCAACTTGTCCACCAAGAAAAAGGAAAAGGAAAAGAAAAAAGCAAATGAAGAGTAAAGCCAAATATTTTATATTTCTGCAAATTGTTGAGGGGGTTTCACAAAAAATTGTTTCTTCTTTTTGTTTAGGACAGTTTTAGTACGGCAGCGAATAGACAAGACACATAAATATTAATTAATGACTTCGACTCGGACTGTGGCATCTGGCTGCTACTCGTATTAACACGCAGGCTTCTTGGAATCTGGGTGACTATTAATTGGACTGGTTTTTCTTCTATTGATATCTCATGTGCGGACTTCATAGTAGATACATAATGCGCACGAATACTGAACAGACAAATGCTCAAATCCATTTGAAAGCATGATGCTTGAAGAGCACACCCTTTCTAATAACTTTAAATATTTAAATTTTCAGGTTAATATCTTGATACATGCATTAAATCCTGTTTAATTTTAATTTTACTCCGTAAATTATATGTTATGCTTTTTAAATCAATTCACCCCAAGCAAGGCGATAATGCGACTTAGTGTTGAAACTTGACTAATGCATGGAATAATAATGCAACACAAAATGTACTTAGAACAAACTGCATTGAAACAAGAAAGTGTACACAATATTTACATATAGTCTTTTGTATATTCCTGGTAAGACCGTTCCTGGAGAATGTGTTGACTGAGTCGCAGTCGGGCAGAGTCTCTGGTTGAATCTCTTGATTCCTCCCTCTCTTCCCGGTACCAACCATATTTATATGGTCGGTACTCCAATATGCAAATTAGGTGGATCCTACCACAACACTTAGACACAAGGCGCCTCTGGGAGTGAAAGACAAAATACTTTATAAGCAACTAGGATCCCAATCCTAAACAGAAAACGAGGGTTAAACCTTTACTCCCGTTCAAAAGACCGTAGAGGAGTGTGAACCAGATGATAGGTGATCAGGATGTAAGACCCAAAGATTTATTGAATAATAAAATGTTCTGTTTAACGTCCCATGAAGTTTAGCAAATATGGGAGATAACTGTGAAGCCCCTGGAAATGCAGTTGCTGAAATATTGGGATAAAAACAATCATGATGTAGATACACGTCGAAAGGATTTTTTTTTTTTTAATAAAGTGTTCAGTTCATCGTCCCCTGAAAGCTACGAAATGATATATATCTTTTGTTGCTTTGTGTTGACGTTAATTCTCCTCGGGTGACAATACTGTAGGGCAGTGCCTTATGAGACTCAACTAGGGATATGGATATTTTGAGCTGCTCGTAGATGCTCTTCTCGACGTTGGCTGAACCACAGGCAGTATATTGTTTTCTCTTCTCTTCAAAGTATTCACAAGTCAGTAGACTGGCTAACATCTAAGCAAATGAACACTGTCTCTCCTGCTATTTAACCCATAGCTTGGGGGGATGGTTGCATTGTGATTATTTATTATATCTGTGAAAAACTGTAAATTCATTATCTTAAACTAAATGTCTGAATATTCTGTAAATAAAAATTTGCTAGCAATAGAAATATAATTGTATTTAAGAACCAGATTAACAATGAGGTACGTATATAAATATCGTTCCAATAACTTGGACCGATTTTAAATGGGAATTAACTTTAAGCGTCTAATTCACTTTTTTCTTTTAGATTTAACAACTTAAGTCTTTGACAATTTCAACCATGGAAAGATTAACAATCAAACAACGTGTTGATGTTATCGAAGCCTATTACGAAAATGGACGTTCAAATAGAAATTGAATGAGAAGTTCCCAGGTCGCATCATCTCTCGAAACAGCGAAGTCAATTGGCCACCATGATTTTTCGATTTTAAGCCTTTAGATTTCTTCCTTTGGGGTCATCTCAAAAGTAATGTCTATGCCAACAAGCCAACAACAATTCAGCAATTGAAGGATGAGATAATAAATATGGCGTCCCCACCTCATGGATCAGTCGTAATTGGCCGAGAGACAAGCTTCCTAACTAAAGGATGTTCAAATAATTTGGACCGATTTTAAATATGAATTAAGTTTAAGCGTCCAATGATTTTTTTTCTTTCAGATTTAAGTCTTTGGCAATGTCAACAAAGGAAAGATTAACAATCAAACAACGTGTTAAAATTTCAAGAGTGCAATTGGAAAAATTGTTCGTAAATTCAAACAAACTGGGTCGGTGACAGATGTGAAAACACCATTGCATGCTCACTTACTCCGTTCAGTTGAAAACTAAAAAAAAATATTACAGAATGTCAAAAAGATGGCTTTTCTCTTGACACCGCTAATATTTCAACTAAATTCGCTCCTAGGTAATGATTATTGTTTCAAAAAGCGATGATTAGAATTGTAATTGACGCAGGTTCGAATCCCACCGTAGAGAGCATTTTTCTTTAATAAATTTCTTGAATATTCAGTATTCCGGTACTCGAAAATTTAATAAATATACTATTTGATAGATAAACGTAGCGTCTATTAAAAATAGTTTTATTATTATTATTTTTATTTTCTTTGATTTCTGGCGTTTACACATTTCTTTCCGGGTCCCGCCCAGGGACCTAAGGTTAGAAATGGCGTCATGACACTTTCCACTGACAAAAACAAAAAAATAAAATAAAAATAAAAATAAAAATTACATAGATAAAGCCCTTCGTAAGGTGTGGGCTGTACTTGTCAGAACAATTTTTTGTATCTCCTTGAGGCATGGACTTCCAGGAATCCCTTCAATTAGTCTACTCCAATCTTTTCCAACCAGTCCTAGGGCTTCAACCACAACAGCGATTGTTGATGTTCCCATATGCCACATTTTCGAGATTTCTATTTCAAGGTCCTTGTATTTTGACAGCTTTTTGAATATCTTCAAAGATACATTGCAGTCATCAGGGACTGCCATATCAATAAGGAGGCACCGTTTTTGTTTGTGGTCTTTAATAACAATATCTGGCCGGTTGGCTTTGATTGTTCTGTCAGTGTGTATTGTGTAATCCCATAGAATTGTAACAGGTCCTATCTCCTTATTATTATTATTATTATTATTATTATTATGGACTTTACTGTTGTTTTTAGCGCATGAGGGTCAAGAAACAACAGTCAGACTATCCGCACATATGATTTGATTATAGTGGTGAAGGCTTATGCAGAACCAACCACGCTTTTTGGAAGAGCCAAATGCACAGACCTGGTGCATAATGTGCCTCCACAGCTTCTGAATTCTGAGTTGCCCTTCTACTTGCCCTAGACTGGTTGCTATAGAACCCAGGCTTCCCTGCTATTTACTCATGGCTGGATGAAGAAGAGGATTCATACATTTCCCAAGGGTATTAGCACGTAAGTGAATGTAATGGATTCGACTGGAATTCGAACTCAATCTGAGCCGCTATCCATTATTCCACCCTAACCCCAATAATATATACCCGGGTTCGAATCCCACCGTTTTCGATTTGTCAGGGAGGTGACTGGCGGAGGCGGTTCCAGTGTGCGTCTCCTTTGGAAATTGCCTAAAAACCATACGACGTCTTGACCCAAGACTTGTGAGTGAAAGTTGTTAGACGGAACCCGCGGTGGTTGTGTTAGCACGAAGTCACAAGTCATCGTGATCGAGGGTTTGAGCGTGCTAGCATTGTTCACGTTGTTGATTCCGCTAGATAACGCACTCACTCCCAGAAACTGTAACTAAGGTCTGTTCAGCATAGTTGCCGTATATACTAGAGGTGGGCTCTGCTTGTGTTGAACCAGCATAAATATGCCTGGGCAGATGTCTGCAATGGGGATTAGCTAGCCGTTCTAGTAGACTGGCATTTTCGGATATATACATATATATTAAAGGTGATAAATCCTAAGAATTTTCGGATGAATTAATGTAACTTGTTTTTGGAATAGGATTTTTACTTCAAAGTATGATTTTTTTATTTTTAAATATAACTTTATCTGTTTTAAAGGTTTTTAAAACGCCTTTTTATTCCTCTCTTAGTTTTAAATTAGTATTTCATCCTTTATATTGATTTTCCAAGTGTAGCTTAGATGTGGCACAAGGCCGAAAGTATGGGGCACCCAGTGAAGATCGAACTCACTAATCAGTCGCAATTGTTCTAGCGAGACAAGTTTGCTAACCATTACACCGCCTCGAGGTTCCCTAACTGATTTTCTAAGCGTAGCTTAGATGTGGCATACAGCCCAGAGTGTGGAGCACCCAATGAGGATCGAACTCACTTTTCAGTCGTAATTGTTTTAGCGAGACAAACTTGCTAACCATTACACCACGCCGAGGTTCCCAAACATTTAATTCTTTATATAACCCGAATTTGATGTCATAAGGTTAACATCGGGGTTTAATTTAATAAAACCTCTCCCCTTTAATACAAATACCTTTCACCCTCCCTTGACCCTTGACTCGTGCCTTTCGTCTGACTGAAATATAGGCAGAGGGAAGCCAGATCACGTCTGTGAGAAAGTGACTGGAGTTGAGATACCAATTCAAGATCGATTACATTGCAGATCCTTCATTGGATTTTGTTGAGAACCTCGAGATGAACAGCAGGGGCACCGAAGCAGATATGGCAAGTATTCAATACATGGATGAATGTTAGACTTATAAATGTGTAAGATGAGCGCTGACAAGAAATACCTTTTGGCACGGCACAGTGAGTCAACTTTCCTTGCAACAAATACAGCTATTGATTGATTCACATATATAGTAGAAAAAGTAATATTCATACAGGCATTACTGTAAATCAGTTGGCAAATGTTTTCCGTGAACTGCAAAATCGTATTACCCATTGTATTGCTAATGATGGAGAACATGCGGAAACTTAAATAAAATTTCAATAAAACTTTAAAAAATATAGATTTACTTTTTTCTAATCCTTTTTCGAAATTATTTCTATCGCAAATACAAATGAAGTTATAAATTTTTCAAAGTGCACACGAACATTATGGACACTCTGTATATATATATATATATATATATATATATATATATATATATATATATTCACACACACACACATATATACACACACACACACATATATATATATATATATATATATATGTGAGTGTGCGTAAGTATTTATATTTTATATAGTATACATTTTCTGTGTATATGTAATTTTTATGGATTATTTGAGTAAATGCTCTGTTTTTAATTAAACAGTATTAATTACATTTACCGGTATGAATATATATTTATAAACACACATATTAATACTTGCACACACACACACACACACACACACACACACACACATATATATATATATATATATATATATATATATATATATATATATATATGATGACCGGAAGTTAATTTCATTTGGGACGACCGATTTCGATATTTTTTTTTGTTACTGCAAACTTATTTCCTTGAAATATTTGCATGCAAATTCTGATTCGCTTCTTATCAGCGCAATTGGCGTAGTTTTTCCTTTTTCTTTATGGAATGGACACATGCCCTTCCAGTGAATGATTGTACGGCTTATCCGGAGAGTACTTCCACATTTTTTTCGTATTTAGTATTTTTTTTTATCTTCTTCATTTTTTGGGGTGGCGGTGGTGGTGGGGGTGGTTAGAGGGAAACGTATCTATTTCACACAGCATTCGCGATTTGCGCAGAAAAATAAATTTAATGAAAACACACGAACCCCCTACAGGTTCATACACCTATCCTCTCACACACCCATGATTACTCATCCACACGGACACACACACACACATATATATATATATATATATATATATATATATATATATATATATATATATATATATATATATATAAATAGAAAGAAAGAGAAAGGGAGAGAAAAGAGAGAGAGAGAATATGAAGGACAGATACAGATAGAAAGAGAGAGAAAGACAGACAGTCAAATGTTTAACAAAGTGATTGATATAAGCAGTGTCTACATAGGAATTCGTTGGAGTCATGGATAGCGGTTCGGATTGAGGAATCGGAGAGCCGAGTTCGAATTCCAGTCGAATTCATTACATTCACTTACATGCTAATACCCTTGGGGGAGATATGAATCGTCTTCTTCCTCCCCCAGCTATGGGAAAATAGCAGGGCAGACGGAATTCTATAGCCTTTGATGGCAACTGGTCTACCGCAGAAAGAAATGGCAACCTACTGCGGGAAAAAATGCCTCGTCACCTAAGCGTGTTTCACGCATAGCACATAACTGTCTGATATATATAAATGTATCTACCTATCTATCAATCTATGTTTCTATGCGGCCTTGACAAAACTTGCCATAAAATCAGGGTTGATATATATATATATATATATATATATATGTATGTACAAAATTCTTTATTCGAAAATTATGACATAAATATGTTATAAAATCACTACA